GTTTTGATTTGGTATTCGTTAGTTTAAATTTCTACAATTCAAAAGGAAAGCAAAAATAAACTGTTGGAAGGAACAGTTCGATAAATACATTTATACGCTATGCAAATGTTATTGGAGCGGAATCTCTGACGACATTTACCATGTTAAATGTTTCGAAATTGAAAATGTCGGATTACGATTGAACGTGTGCCGATATTTTCCAATTTTCACACGGACGCGACTTTAAACGGACATAGTTTTTAAATTTCAGATAAAAATAGAGAATGAAATCGTGCTTGCTTGCGAACGTACACCTACAAGGAAACAAGATGCGTTAAAGTTTATTTGGACACAACAGCTTCTTCTGCTTTTTGATTTACAGAATTCACATTTATTTGAGACAATTACGACGTTCGAATTTTCTAAATCCGACGTAGTATCAAATAACTTATTCGGATGCAAAAACGAATAACACCGAAATCGATTTCCGGATCGTTCTTCGATATATTTCGAATAATTTGAAGACTATTTGGAGAAGGACGATTACACAGCCTGCTACGAGGTTCCGTATCGTACACCGTGTTTCGTCGATAAATTACTGCTTATGAGCGAACCATTCGGGAACCTAGTGTTAGAGAAAAAGAGTAGTTTGGTCTGTATGCATCGAAGCTCTTTCGTTAGATGAAATAAAAATTTTTTCCATTTCAAACGCATGAATTGCGCTCGAACCACTGTGTGAATGCATTTTCACGTGATTGGGGAGAAAAATGTAGGTAGAATCCAATCTGAAACGTATTCTGCTGCATCGAAGAGTGAAAAGTTAAAAAATCACGCACCATTGACACCGAGAACATTTAAAAGCAATTATTTCTCGAATAGAGAAATTACGATAAAATAATTTGTAAAAAATGACACCCCGTCACACGAATATGTATATCGTCGTTCTCCAAATAGCGAGTCACCAAAGAGTCGAAATATTATAATTTCAGTTGAAATACTTTCGATACCGTTGATTCTGTCGGCAAACGTTCCAGTCGAATAAAAGTTGAATGGCTCGAGGGCGGGGAGGAGGGGCTGGAGTCATATTTCGATGTTGTTAGTTTTTCTGTAAGGGAGCACGTAAAGATCGCTCTTTGTCTTTTTTTAATGGAATAATATATTTTTTAATACGTCGGTCGATGCAACTTGACATCCTTTATAAAACGAAGAAGAGAATTTTAGGTCCGCGCTATTATTTGTTTCGTTCCGAAGATGATGTACAGCGATCGTTTATGAAAATCGATGAATATTAGTATCCTGGATATGGGAATGTACGGTTTAAAGTTTAAATACGGTTAACGCGATGTTAACTAGTTAAAATGTTATCATATTTCCAATACTTTAGTTTTTGATTTGCGATATCGATTAGAGGCGACTGTGATCGATGTTTAATTGAAATCGCTAACATTTTCACCACGTATTGCACCTATATGTATATATGGACGAAATGATACCAGAGAGGCGTTGTTATCTGTAGATCGTGATGCTGCCAGATTTCCGGCATAGTTGCAACCGTTATCCGTCATCTTAATGCATAACCGGAAGACCGAGGGACGCACCGGCGCGGCTTATAAACGGCGCGATTATTCCAACCTAGCTTCTCCACCCCTTTACGATGTCTCATCCCTTAGCCACGATAACCTATTCCTCTCGTCCAGAAGAATGTAACGCCGTTTGCAGGTTAGACTGCCGACCTTTCTAAATACATTCGTTTGAATTTCATGGAACGCGACCCGATCGGACGAATACCCTGCGATATCTTTCCCTCTTACTATAATCTACCAAATGAAACCGACGTGCAAATGTAAAATATGACGTACGTCAAGTGGAATTAATCGTTCGATGAACAAAAATCAACGATACTTTCTAGTATAGTTTCGGAAAAGCTAACGTATATGAAACGAGTTTATCGGTGCGCTCGAATATTACGATAGAAGCTGAACTCGCTAGATGGAATAGTTTATTACGAGTTATTCGATTAAGCAAGTATCAGCAGCCACTGTGCAAGCATATCGAGACAGTGTCTCAAATATTCGCGATAATGTAAAGATCGTAGGTGATAAAACGCGATAGATAATGATGCGGAAGAGAAGGAAAATGTCGCAACTGTAGTGGAAACTTATTCGTCGCGTTCTGTGTCAGATTTTCACTTTCTTTCGATTACCGAGATACGCTATTTACACGGAAAACGCCTAAACTATTTCGAAATTGTACAAAATGCGATAAAATTGCTTTCCTATTTTTAATAATATATCGAAAAATTTATTCGAAGAGACGCGCAACGACTTCTATATACTATAGTGCTGTACGAAGGAAGATACTACATCGTTTGGAAGAATAGAAGCTGTTTTCAAAAAGCGAATTTGTGCGAGACTCGTTTCGTACCATGAATTTAACGTGTCTGCTTTAAACGTGAAAACGCGATGATGGAGCTCTCGTACAATATGCGAAACTAGCTGAAACAGCTGGAGATCGTATTAGTCGGCTTTATAGCATCTGGTGTAAAAGGCAAGTTAGTTACAGCGAATGTCCGATTGTACAAAAGAGACTCGCGTGAATATTTTAGGTAATTTTCGTTTTACGGTGGAATTTTATAATAACTTTGTTATATCTGTATTAAATGGAATATGAAATTGTTCGAAATCACGGAGAACTGTGTGCTAGAACAAAGACATTTGAGAGAAAATCGGACGATAACGGCGTTTAAGAGAAACACGCGGCTCTCGGGAACGGTGTCGCAGCGTTTCAAACCTCAAACATACATATATGAAAACACACGGGAACAAATATTTTGCGAGGCCCCGCGCGCAATTTTCCATGTGCAAATTTAAATCGTGGTTGGGCTCTTACTTTGCGCGACCAAGCAAAAAAAGAAACGCGATAAAAAAGAGGTATTCAACGGGTCAAACATTTCTTGGAACGAAGTTTTCCTTAAATTAACTGAACCTCTTTTACAGCATGCCCGGCGTGTCTGACGCTTTATAGCGTTACCAAAGGAAGCCAAGCATTCGTAATTTTCCATCCGGACTCTCCTTTCGCCGAACGAGATTCATCGCGAGGAAACTTTTTCTTGTCCCCTTTAAAATAAAGCCAATTAACGTTTTACATTGAAAGTCGATGTGATTTTTAAAAAGAAACGTTCCGACTCTTTATGAAACGTAATTGTTTCTGGAAGCGACTCCATCGGTGTCGACCGGGGAAAGGAATCGGCCAAGAGCCAAGACAAGAAATCGAGAAGACTTGGCGGTAACGGATCCTCGCCATTTCCTTCATATTTCATCTCGCTCGAATCGAAGTCCGTTACTTAAAACTGGCTACTGATATTTTCAAACGTAGTCGGCACTCGTCTGGCCAGCGGATGGTCGAGATAGGTACGAGATAGGATATTACTAAAAGTACTCGAAAGCAAAAAGCAATCTAGAGCATAGACATCCAGAAAGGTTGTTTAACCCGTTGACCTCGTTAAACGGCCACGAAAAAGTTAAGTGAATTTCTCCCTGTTTCTTCGTCGCTTTTTCCACCTTCTCCCCTCCCTTCTTTCCATTTCTTTCTCCTCTCTTGTCCTTCTATCTCCGACTATCATTCAAGCTTCAAGGGTCTGCCTCTCGCCCACCAAAGCGAAGCAGTTAGTTAATTAATTAACAAAATTACGCGGACGAATAAAAACGAATACTCGTCGTTGTCGTCGTCGCCGTCGCCGTCGCCGTCGGTTGGAAAATTGCAGGTAGGCAGACAGACGTCGATCTCGCTCGGTCTATATCGTATGGAATTTCGAGGGCCGATCGAATCGACTCGAACGAGCCGAAGTGGCTCGAACGAAAATGTTCGTCGGCAGTAACGGCTGCTAATTATAAGATGGGATACGAAAGGGCAAGAATACCGTCTCGATGGAAGCCGATAAGATTCGAGTGTTTGCCGTTTCGGGAACACAACTAGTCGATCTTAGTTAACCCGAGCCTGGCTGAGACTGCCAATCCGGATTAACGGCCATCTATAAATTACGGATCTTCGAATATCTTTGGCAATGATAGGTTGGCGCCGCCATTAACGCGAACGGGCCGACAGTTCAACTCGACGGAGTTGCGGTTCCCGCTTGATTTCCATGGCCGCTTGAAACTTGGATTGCTCTTTGCTAGATTACGGAAGTTTAGCTGCATTGTTGCACCGTTCCTTCTTATTTTAGCTCGCGCTACAAATTTTCCGTCGAACAATACGGTATGTATAAGTTAGACACTGGCAGAAATTTAATTTTCCTAAGTAGTCGATCGAAATTCATGAAACGGCTAAAGTTTCTTTTATTATCTAAAAGAACCATGGGTTGATAACCATTACCAAAACGAAAAAACAAATGTAAAAAATTTAGATTTTTTTATTCTTAAATGGATGGTTATCAAGCTAGTTGGGTCCGTTTTGACCGTAGTGACAGTTTTTAGCCTCGTTGACAATTTTTCAAGTGGCAGTTGGTCGATAAAAGGCATTATCAGCGCCGAAACTACGCTGCCATTTAAGGTAATTTAAAGCAATTTAGATATCCGTTTTCTCGAAGGACATACGCGGAGACAAAACGGCCAGCCAAAAATTTCGCGGCAATTTTTGTCGTACTTATTCGTGAGTCGTTCGCCCAAGCTTGCTATAAGATGCGCGTGCATGCAACGAGAAACAAAGCAGCATTCCGAACAAATTTTAGTAAATTTTAGTATCGATTTGCTATCAAATTCGAAAGATCGAAAAGTTGTAACGTTATGTTATAGAAAATTACGTAAATTTCCCTTCTGTTGATAATCGATATTGTTGTGAATGTGCTAGCGCTTAAAAAAACAAAATTCATCATCGACGCTTTAATAATTAACATTACGATACACGCTAGAGAATAAATTTGATAAATTTCTCAAAACAATCTTCAAAATGATTGTCTCGTTTAGTACAAATTCGTTATAAAGTAATATGAGAATGCGTAGAATCAATCGTATTTAGAGACTCACTTTGTATTCCGCTAAATCTTGAACCACGCAAGATAAAATTGCTTCCCTTCCAACCGGTGCAGTTACATTGGTAATTGGTTCCTTGAAATTCGGATCTAAAAAATAAGAAAATTCAAAGGATTAACGTTTCGCTAAAGCAACGATTGGAATAAAATATAGATCAAAATCAACGGAAATTACTGATATATCGATACATTCTCATTCTAATAAGCTACGTGTATAAGTAAAAGTTAATCTGCTACCACGATCGTCTGAAAAATAAGGCATCTTTTATCCAAGGAAATGTAGTATGAAAACAACTGCAAAATCTTACTTACGTGTACCTGAGTTTCAAGAACAAAGTTCTTTTTCGTAAAATTTCATCTTCTGAAAATAGTAAAACCCGCTCATCTTATGAAATATTTCAGCGTTTGCGTAATTTGCATATTAGTCGAACATGACGTTTTATAAAATAACTAGCGCGATAGAGAAACAGCTGTTTAACGAATTTGGCTAGTTATCAAGGTACATTAAGGGACGAATGAAAATTCCGTAAAGTAAAAGCCTCTCGCAATCGTTACTCGATATTTCGTGTAAAATCGTGTTATACTTTCCATTTTAAATATTTATCGAGTAAATATAAGATCATCCTACGTACAGAATTTCTTCCATAAAGAAAATAAAAACGACGAAGATAAAATTGAATCGCGAGGCTTCCAGTTTTGGTGCAGAAATTCTGTTCAATTTACGCAGAATCTTCATCCGGTTACGACTGCTTATTTGACACCCACAAGGTTTTCTTTAGCAAAATAAGAAAACGAATCTTCGACGTTCCACTCAACGTCTACACTTTGATATCTACAAAAGAAAAACAAGAAAGAAAATGTGTCGATAGTAGAGTTCGACTTTATGTCTACCATTTTCTAATATCTATGTTATAATTATAACTTATAATTCGTTCGACGATATAGGTGTAATATTCGTGGGCATTCGAATCGCCTCGAATCGTATGAAAAAAGAAATCAAAGTTACGACCTGCTATCTTCATTTATGTGAAGTGAAATCACTGAAAAAAATAAAATTATATACGCGATCGAATAAAGGAACGTCATGGATGTAATGGAGAAAATGTATGGATCAGAAATAAGCCGGTCATCGCTGCTCGGTTAGTTTGCCATTCGATACCTACCTAAACATGCAAAGCTTTTCAGTTAAGTACTGCTTGGAAATCGATGGTTGTCGTCGATCTATGCGAGCATGCAACAGACGTGAAATATAATGCAAAAAATCAGTGAGCAACCTTCGGTCAAAATAGAATGGTCAAAGATGCAATAAGCTTTCATAAAGTTAATGCGACTACCCGTTCTAAAGTTACTGCTGGATTGTTTCCAGAGAATATGAAATAGGACAGTCTGTCATGTTCTTCCGTCAATTAATCTTAAAGCCTTCATTAGAATTTCATGGAAACACAAATATCAGGCCGTGCGTCTACAACCTAGTTGTACAATTTGCAAATTACGTTCCACGGTATGATATTAACGATTTTTGTGGCATCAATCATATTACGGTTAGATTTAGTTTAAACCTAAGACTATATATATGTTTTAATTATAAACTCGTCAATAATACATTTCGCTACATCGCGTTCCAGCTTGAGGAAAGAAAAGGGTGAAATATCGTAATAAATTTTTGTATTCGATACTCTAACTTTAATTACAAGGAACACTCGGATCAATTAATTAAATATAATTACTATAAAATTGACATATTTTCTTCCAAACATCTAGATCTAACCTAGATAAAAATCGACCGATATTCCCGATCACATCCGATCAAGGATCTAACTAAACTAACGACGCGTTTATCAATAAATATCGCATTCACGGTACATACTGATCCTTTTAGTTGAGAAATTGATCAAACTTGAAATATCAACGGTAGGTATATCGTAGCGACGATCCGAGGACGCCCTTAGATATCATAATATTTTTACTCATTCTTTTACGCGTTTTCTTCTTCTTACTAAGGATAAAATATCACATTTACATTGGCAAGGATCAAATTGACGTCAATTTCTTTTTCGTTGATTCGATGATCGTGAAAATTTTTACTTGACATACAGTACACTAATGGTGTTGAAATTTTTCTTTAAATCGAACAACGCGCTAAAATTGGGCAAAATCGATTGAAATCCCTGTACGAAGCGAACGCTATAAAGTTCATAGAAAGTTAATAAGGGTTCGGAATAATGCTAACAAAATGGACTGTAAACTCGAGCACGCCCTACGCGATTCATTCGTATCGTGCATTAGGAGGAAATATCGTCGATCGAAGGTCATTCACTCCGTAGGCGGATACACGGTCAGATACACGGAGATTATTTGCGAAGGGCATAAAACAGCGAAGGGCGTCGTTAAGGGCATCGAAAGGAGAGCAACCACAACCATAGAACGCATAACGTAGATGGCATAGTAATGGGAACATAGGGGAACCATAATTCCATTGTACGTGCCTATCCATCCAAGCTGTTTGCGGGGGGTAACTCTCGCGGGAAATTCGAGCGTATTAAAAGTCTCGATCTAGGCCGGTTTGATAGATCGGCTGTCTCGAAATGGTTACCGATGCCAGCGTCGTTTTAGACCGCATCCCCTAAAGAATTCGTTCATGTAGTTGGAAATCGGCTCTTTTTCTTGCTTTTCACTTATTTTTATCAATCAGGTTATTTCCTTTATAGAGACTACTTGGAATTCTGCTTTTTCTACCAGATGGAGCATGAAACACGAGTAAACGTCGAGTAATCGCGTAGAATAGAGTAGACTTTACGAGTTTGCTGGTGATTCAGAAAAGTAATTTGTCAAGAACAACGTCTCGAGTTCGTTTCATACACTTTCGTTCACGAGTCGATCGATACATCGTAACATACGTTAGATAAAATAGGATAGTAATAAAATATCGCAAACGATTAATACGAGTTTTCCCTATTTTCCTTACAATACAGACAATTGGTAAGTATCGATATCATTTCGTACGTAAAATACACGTGAAATATACTAAAATGTGTTTATCCTAGGTGCGCTGAGAAGAAGTCTCCAATGACAGTATGGACAGTAGTGTAAAAAATATCAGTGATATTACCTTTAACGGTATGCGGATACTTTCTCGTAACATGACAAAGTCGTATCTCTCGAAACGATAAGAAATACAGGAAAATTTTATTTAATAAAATTCGATGGTTTCGAAGTGGCGCATCGTGTGGTATGAAAGTAGGAGGAGCGTTGTAAACATTTCACTTGTATCATTTTGCGTTCCAAACGTTCTTTTTCGTCTGTATAAATAACAAGGTACCGAGAATCTTTTGTTAATATTTAACACGCACATATTTAACAAAAAACGTCAATGTCAATTAAGTTTTGTTTTGTAAAAAAATGTCTTATTCGAAAAGTTGGATATCACTGTATTGATAAATTCAACAAAAAGATCTCGGTGGTTTTCTATAAAATAGCGAATATGGCCACATCGATACGAACGAACTACCGCTACGTGTCACGCGTGTGAAGCAATTTAACATATTTTCGGTGCCGGTGATGTACAGACTTTGTTAACTGACAAGTGAATAAGTGTTCTAGTTAAAGTGCAGAAAATGTAATAAACTAGCTTCGTATATCTCACGGGAGAAACGCTTTTGCCTATATCAGAGCGAAACAATGAAAGCTTTTAACGCGTCAAAATATGCAAAATTATTGTTAAAGATACGATATCTCGTTCAAAACACACAATATTTTGTACAATAAATTTCAATTTTACACGTCACTTTATTTAAAACCAAAGAATTTCCAAAAATTAATTTTAGATTATGTTTGGCTATGCAATTTGCGATATGAAAGATATAAAGCAAAAATATATAACATAAATGACTTTTACTAAATATTTTAACAAATTTTATTTTGAAAATTACTCGGTTCGTTCGTTTCTAGAACAAGAATATTTAATTTAATATCGCGCAATGAAGTTTACATTCTCAATACCAATATAAATCGTTGTTGTAACATTTCTGATATATATTTCATTGTAATTTAATGAAACATATATCGATTATGTTTATAATAATAGCCAGTTGTCATTTTTTATAGAATTTTCGTTCTCATTGAGCGAAATATCAATGAAACGCTTGTACGTTTATTGGGCGCGGAAAGAAAAAGCGGAACAAGGCGACGGTAGTGACTAATGATAAAAATGCTATTTAAATCGCCGTCAATGCTATGAATCGTTTACATTACTTTCGAGCCGTGTATTTCGTTTTCTAATTTGTATTACATTTAAAGCGTTAATCGAATAAAAGCGGTGCAGCGTGTTCGTTGCAAATGACGTTTCTTCCCCTTCGTCGTTCTCTTCTGCAAAGTCATCAACGGTTGCTTGTTCGTACGAAAAGATTTACGTAATTTGCACACACGTTGATGCTCCCTTTGCAATTACGGAAGATGTGGTTTTCCATCCGTGTTTACGTCTCTATATATATTTCTATGTACACGTATACAAAAGAGTCGATGAATTTTTTAAGATCTAAGATTCACGGTACGTACACGGCAATCACATCTTAACATACACGAGCTGAAACAGAAAGCATCAGATTTCACGGAAACAAGGTGTTATTAACCCCTTCGGACTCTTTCGAAAGTTTCCGCAAACAGTTCACGTAACGTTAATTGCGTAAGAAACATTTCCATTGCCGGTTGTGTTTAGTCAATGGCTTTTCGCTTAATTGGAAAACGTACTTCCGAGTGAAGCAATTAATGCCCGTAAATGGGAAAAGTAATCGACCGAGCGAAGGTCGACGTTAAATATTCGTCACTTATTCAATCCCATTGGCTTTCGCATTCTTGCTCGTTCTTTGCCCGTTCTTGCCCGTTCTTCCCCTTCTTTCTCCTCGGTGCAATGAACTTTGCCATGTAAATCGAGAGAAACAGATATGAAATAGAAATAAACTCGCCCTTTTGTCAAAAGTATATGAAAAGATTTATGGTCGAAGGTGATTTATCTCGAGATGTACTTTAGATGGATGGTTTTATTTTTGGTAAATTATTTTCAAGTCCATGAATCAAAGAACGATTCCATGAAT